CCAAATTTGAAGTTCATATGTAAAGTATATCTCAAGTTATCACGCTGACAAAATTTCTTTTGTTTTTGCCACTGTGACCTTGACCCTTGACCTTTTGGCCCCAAATGCAAAAGGCTTCTTAGGATTGCCAAGGACAATCCACAAACCAAATTTGAAGTTCATATGTAAAGTATTTCTCAAGTTATCGCGCTGACACAATTTCTTTTGTTTTAGTCACTGTGACCTTGACCCTTGACCTTTTGGCCCCAAAAGCAAAAGGCTTCTTAGGATTGCGAAGGACAATCCACAAACCAAATTTGAAGTTACCCTAGCATCGACAAGCTTGTGAAGTTTACCAGCAAGGCCGCACGGGAAGCGAATGACCCAGTTTATGGTCTAGAGGAGCGCAACAAAATTTCTTTTGTTTTTGCCACTGTGACCTTGACCCTTGACCTTTTGGCCCCAAATGCAAAAGGCTTCTTAGGATTGCCAAGGACAATCCACAAACCAAATTTGAAGTTCATATGTAAAGTATTTCTCAAGTTATCGCGCTGACACAATTTCTTTTGTTTTAGTCACTGTGACCTTGACCCTTGACCTTTTGGCCCCAAAAGCAAAAGGCTTCTTAGGATTGCGAAGGACAATCCACAAACCAAATTTGAAGTTACCCTAGCATCGACAAGCTTGTGAAGTTTACCAGCAAGGCCGCACGGGAAGCGAATGACCCAGTTTATGGTCTAGAGGAGCGCAACGGCAGAGAAAAGTTTACTCCAAAGAAGGGAGCAAACTTCAATGTACAAGCTTCCAGTGCCCCCGATGAAAAGGCCAGAAGCAAGCCAAGATCATTGAATCAACGAGCGAGCAAAGCTAATGAGTTCACCTCTGCAGTGAAGAGTACAATTTGTCCATTGTGCTCGGGAGGCCATTGCATTGTCACCTGTACGAGTTTCCGTAGGTTGACACCTGCTGATCGACTGGAAGTGGTGAGTGACAAGAGACTTTGCTTCAACTGTCTCACCATTAAGCGTCACTTTGCCAGGGAATGTGACCAAGCTTCCTGTGATGTGCCTGGATGTACGACAAAGCATTCAAGACTGCTGCATGGTGCTTTCCTGGCATCGATTCCGAGTGGAGAGCGTGAGAACACGCTTAAGAAAAGCGTTGACGCCCAGACGATCGGAGCCACCAGTTTTGTGTGTGGCGCAGACGAGAAAGAGCGATCTAAAGTGGCCTTACCGGTGGTTCAAGTCCTTGTGAGAGCCAACGGTAGGGAAGATCCCGTCAGGACCAACGCTCTACTTGACCCTGGGAGCAACAAAAGTTTCTGCTCCATGGAGCTGATAAAGATGCTAGACACAGAAGGCAGTCCACAACCCCTTACCCTTGACACCCTCAACAAGAGTTCACAAGTGGAGACACTCGAAGTTGCTCTTAGCATATCTGGCGTGAAGAGTAGCCGAATCAAAGCGTTTCATCTACCTCGAGTGTACGCCTTGAAAGATTTTCCACCCAGTTGGAATAATGGCGGACGTTGAGCATATGTTCCATCAGGTGCGGGTTCAAAAACAGGACAGAGACGCCCTGAGATTCCTTTGGTGGCCAGACGGTGATACCGTTAAATCCCCCGACGTGTACCGCATGGCAGTACACCTGTTTGGAGGCGTGTGGAGCCCCAGTTGTGCCAACTTTGCCCTCAGACGGACGGCAGAAGATAATGTGGACGACTTCAATGCCGATGTTGTGGCTACAGTGAATGAGAACTTCTACGTGGACGACTGCCTGAAGTCCCTAGATTCCAAGGGTGAAGCAGTTGAGACGGTGAAGCAGTTGACTGACATACTGGCGAAGGGAGGTTTCCGCCTGACAAAGTGGATTAGCAATAGCAGAAGAGTAATTGAATCTGTGCCGCTGGAATAGAGAGCCAAGGGTGTCAAGAACATTGACCTTAGTCAAGAAGAGCTACCTGTTGAGAGAGCGTTGGGAGAGCGTTGGGAGTCCATTGGGATACTGAGCACGACTTACTCAGAATGAAGATCAAGTCAAAACATGGTAGTCAGACAAGAAGAGGCTTACTGAGCGTCATCTGCTCAGTGTATGACCCATTGGGGTTTGTTAGCCCGTACGTCCTTCGGGCGAAGCTCCTCTTTCAGAACGAGTGCCGAATCGTTGGCAAGAGTTGGGATGATCCCTTAGAGGCGGAAACTCAGGATCACTGAGCGAAGTGGTTAGATGAGCTTCCTCTTTTGAAGAGTTTGCTGTTGAAAGATGCCTCGTGCCAAGCAACTTCGGAGAGATAAGTGAATGCCGTTTGCATCACTTTTCAGATGCCTCTCAAGATGCGTATGGGAGTGTATCTTATGCTCGTTTTGTCAATTCTGCGGGAGAAGTCCACTGTAGTTTTCTGATAGGAAAATCACGCCTGGCACCTCTGCAGACGATGACGATACCCAGACTGGAGCTTTCTGCAGCAGTAGTAGCTGTAAAGATGGAGCAGATGCTACGAAGGGAGCTGAAACTGAACGTCTGCGGGTCCACGTTCTGGACTGACAGCATGCTGGTGCTGCAGTACATCAAGAACACATCAAAGTGCTTGCACACGTTTGTAGCCAACAGGGTGGCTGTCTTACATTATGGTTCATCTGTTGACCAGTGGCGATATGTAAATACCGATCTGAATCCTGCTGATGACGCATCGAGAGGCCTGGATGCGCACAACATGATTTCCAAAGAACGGTGGAGAAAGGGACCAGAATTCCTCTGTCAGGATGAGAAGAGTTGGCCAGCAACTCCTCAAGCTCCAAATCTTCTCGAGACGGACCGGGAAGTAAAGAAAGTAGCAGTGTCACGAGCTACGGGAGGCGCAGTGACAGCTGATCCTGTGGCAAGACTTATCAGCAAGTATTCCAGTTGGAACCGTCTAAAGAAGGCTGTGGCATGGTTCTTGCGTTACAAGAAGTGGTTGATTGAACGCAGATCTCGATCCATATGGAGTGGAAATCGACTGACCGCAGCAGAGATGGATTATGCAGAACTTGCTGTAATAAGATACGTGCAAAGAACCAACTACGAGCAGGAGATCTGAGACTTACAGAAGGGGAGACGTTCAGTCCAAAGGCAAAGTCCCATCTACAGTCTTGAGCCAATTATCGATGACAACGGTGTTCTGAGACTTGGTGGTAGGCTCAGACAAGCGCCCATAGAGGAGAGTCGAAAGTTCCCTTCGATTCTACCTAAGCATCATCATGTGTCAACCCTGATTGTTCGTCATGCACATGATACCTCGGGTCATTCAGGCAAGGAACATGTACTATCTGTGGTGAGACAGCAGTATTGGATTCCGAAGGCCCGGTCACTGATCAAGAATATCCTGAAGGCATGTGTTGTCTGCAAGAGACTGTAGGGAACACCACAGAAACAACGGATGGCAGATCTTCCCAAATGCAGAGTTACTCCAGGAAAACCTCCATTCAGTTATGTGGGTGTTGATTGTTTTGGGCCTTTCTATGTGAAACGTGGGAGGAGTAAAGAGAAACGCTATTGATGTCCCTTCACGTGCCTCTCCACAAGAGCCATACACCTTGAGAGTCTACATTCACTGGAGACAGATTCATTTCTGAATGCCTTCATGAGGTTCGCAGCTAGACGAGGTACGCCAGAAAAAGTGCTCTCTGACAACGGAACCAACTTTGCTGGAGGCGAGAAAGAAATGAGACAGGCCATCTCCCAACTCGAGAAGGATAGTCAGTTGCATGGATTCACCCTCGTCAAGCACATTGAATGGAAATTCAATCCACCTGCAGCTTCGCACATGGGTGGTGTCTGGGAACGGCCAATACGGACCGTACGGAAGGTGCTAGGAGCACTTCTGAAAGACCAAGTTCTAGATGACGAGCGCCTGAGTACCATATTTTGTGAGGCCGAAGCCATAGTCAATGATCGGCCTATCACCGCTGTCTCTGACGACCCGAATGATTTGGAGGCCCTCACGCCGAGTCATCCGCTCAAATTCAGACCTGAGCATCCAATGCCATTGAATGGTTTGACGGACGGAGACAAATATTGGAAACGATGGAGACATGTTCAGTATATGGCAGAGAGGTTTTGGAATCGATGGATTTCCGAATACTTACCAACCCTGCAGCGGCGGCAAAGATGGATTGAGCCACAAAGAAACATCAAGTCAGGCGATATTGTGTTGGTCAGAGACGACAACACTACTCGTGGCCAGTGGCCATTGGCACGAGTAACGAGGACTTTCCCTGGCGTAGATGGACTGGTACGCACAGTGGAAGTTCTGTCACGCGGTGGCATCCTCAAGAGGCCAATAACCAAACTTTGCCTTCTAGAAGGCGAACTGGATTGAAGATATCAACAATTGAGCTTTATTCTACCAATTATAACTTAAGTTTTGTTTTGGTTTTTGGATTTCTGGTTGACTCAACATTTGGAAAGAATTTGAATCACTTAAGCCTTTTGTTGGAGTATTTTTTAATGTTAAACTGCATAATTTTAGTCATTGTAATATTATTTGTTATTAATTGATTAATGGTTAATTGAATGTGTAAATGTTGGCCTGTAGAGCAACATTTAAGGGGCCGGGATGTTAATGACAAAAATGTTTGTCAGCGGGCGTTGTAGCGCGCGCGCCTGGCGCAAGCATGCCTTTGCGCGTGTGCGCTGCGCTTACAAAATAATCGTTCAAATTCATATTAATTTCATTAATAGAAGTGTGCTACAAATGCCAACAAAGTCGTAAGTAAATTAAAATACTCTAATTATTGATTCGTTCATTTTCAAACTGCATGGATATTCATGACCGAAATATGATGTATATTTGTAGCTTAATAATTGGAACCTAACGTAATGTTTGTATTGTTTTTCATATTATTTTATTGTTACAGATTAAACGAAGTTATCACCAGTTGTGTGATGTCGGTGACCAAATCATTTATGGCACAGCCGCCGCCGTCGGTAATCTTCTACATCCCCTTTTCCGACATATAATGACCACGCCCACTTACCCTGTCCATTTGCGCCATCAGTGTTCAGCAAAAGGAAGATCAGAGCCAAACTCAACCTCGTCCATTCCTGTAACGTTGCCATGTTTAATAATAATATGAACATGGACAATGATGTTTTTTTACGAATTTCCGTTCATTCAGTGTTTGTTATTTCCGAGAAGAAGAAGAAGAAGAAGAAGAGTGCCCGATGATTGCAACGTTGTTTTTTTCCTAGTCTGGTTCCCAGACCTGACAATTATTCCCGACCCGCGCTAGCGCTCACGTCTGAAATTGTAGGTCAGGCAGCCTCCGTGGCTAAAAATAAACATGACGACATTAATGGCCCTTTTTCAAAGCGCGGCTTCGTTTCCGATATTTCGCTTTATCACTTGTAGCTTTTAATGTTCTGATAAAATCTTTAAATAAATCACTTGCTTCGTAATATCATACAGTTATGATAATACAATTTGATGTTTTTGTAAGATAACATTGAGTAATGTTGATCTGGAATCTTCAAAATTACGGAACCAAATAGCACTGTTAGCAGGCGGACCGAATGAAGACCGAGTTTTGGAAAATCTCGGTAACGGTCGTCAAATTCAAAATTGTACATGACGCATCAAAAAGTTCGCCCGTACGATCCGAGTATATTTGATGCACAAAATCGTCGTTGAATTTCAAGTTTTCTAAATGAAAACAATGAATATTAATTATCAACTCATTAAAAATAAAATTAATAAGCAATTAGCAATTAATCAAACCTATATTATATGCTCGGAAATACTCGGGCGCAATCCGATTGTCGACGAAACGACTTCGGCAAACTTCGGAAATTTTCGGAAAAAGGAGGAATTCCTCCCGTTTTAGTCACGTGACGGAAATTGTAATACATTGTATATTACCGGAGGCTACCGGACCTAAGATTCATCAGGAATAGACCTTTCTATTGTTTGTAAACATTGGCGCCATTTTATATGGGCTGCCGCAAGCGCATAAATTGAAGCCGTGGTTGGCATCATATTTTTCCAAATCCAAAAAAGTCCCCATAACGCCCTCCGTCAATACAAACTAAAAAGCCACGTTTAGGAATTATGTTGTGGCCTTGTTTGACAATGTTGTATTTTCCTCAATCTAATAACATTTTGGTTATCTGTAATCACTCTTCTTCATCTTTGCAGCGTTGAACCTTCCATAGTTTTGCAACCCGTGGTTGGCAAAAATGCAGTTTGCCAACCAAGCGTAGAAAGGTCTGTAGTCGGAATCTTTTGGTCTGGGAACCAGACTAGTTTTTTCCATGGTTAGTAATTGTCACCGCAACCACGTCCCCAGTGCTTACTTTATTTCCAACCGCGTTTCCAATAGTAAACCCTGGATAGGAAACTTTCTTCCTGTATCCTGATTGGATACCGCAATTGGCTAGTCAGTTTTACTCTGTTTTGAGTATTCCACTGTTCTCATAAAGCTAACTTCATGAAGTGTAACATTGGAACCTTCAACTTGCAAGGAATCCTGAAGAATGATCGCCTGGAAGATGTTGCAAATGACATGCAAACATATTCACTATGTGCACTAGCAGTTCAGGAAACGCATTTACGCGATTCTGGATCGCGCGCAGTGACCACCAGCGATGGAAGAAACAAATTTATATAACTGACATACAGATCCTAGTCATTTGATTGGTGGAACTCACATCACATGACATTCGTTATCGCTCCCATTCACGCCGCGGCTCAAAAAGTACTATCCGCCCATGGGGAATGGGAAATACTATAGACCGCTTGCAGACGCGTTCGATAATCGACGCGCGAAGGCGCGCGACGCCATGTTGTGGGACAAGCGCATATCTATCCATGCACATTTTGTCCCACAACATGGCGTCGCGCACCTTCGCGCGTCAATTATCGAACGCGTCTGCAAGCGGTCTATTCAACAGTTAGGATCATGACGCGGTATTTGTGTGCAAAATGAATGTTGGTGTGCGCGTTCAGCGTTCGCGTTGCGCGTAGCGCGTATTGTTCCAAAGCGCCAGCACTATAGCGTTAGGTTCAAACATTTTCGTGAAGGGGTGATTTGGAAGAGAGAAATAGATTTTCCTTCAGTTTTGTATTGAAAAAAAAGTTCAAATATATCAAATGACAAGGATCTATATGTCAGTTATATAAAACAAATATTGAGTGGCTTTATTGTGAAATGGGAGGAATATCATCGCTCGGTAAAATCTGGACTTTTCCAGTTCACTCGGCTTCGGCTCGTGAAATGGAAAAGTCCAGATTTTACCTTGCGATAATATTCCTCCCATTCCACGCTGAGCCACTCAATATTTTGTACAACAACTTTTTCTACACGGGACCATCGGACAATTCAAATCAAGGAATAGGATTCTTCATTGATTCCGGCCTCGATGCAAAGATCAACATTACAAGTAATCGGATAGCAATGGCTTCTATAGAACGCTTGCAGATGCGTTCGATAATCGACGCGCGAAGGCGCGCGACGCCATGTTGTGGGACAGGCGTATATCTATCCATGCACATTTTGTCCCATAACATGGCGTCGTGCACCTTCGCGCGTCAATTATCGATCGCGTCTGCAAGCGGTCTATTGCTTTGTAAGACAGGTTGAGTGCGCGCGGGCTTACCTTTAAGCATGCGCGCGCGGGCTTGCCTCCAAATATGCGCGCAGGTTGTTTTACGATGCGCGCGCACACTGAACATTCTATATGATGCGCGTTCGTGTACGTTATTTTCACTTTCACTTTCACTTCATAATCCTACAGAGTGTTACATAATCGCTAGCTGCTTATTTCTTCATCCAATCGACTGCTTTAGGTAAGAAAATGCTCTTTTCTGTTATGTTATACAAAGGAGCCATATACCTTACGTTATTTCTTATTATTTCTTAGTCCTTTGCTATTATAATATTTATAGATCTAGGACATTTAAGGGTTTTGTTATTTGTATTCTCATTCAGCTAGGGCCACAGAGAGTGTCCTGCCGAATTACCACAGCCTCATACAGTAAAGCTGGTCTGAAGGCGTAAACGGTATGACATTTGCTATTTCAATAACTTTATATTAGCTACTTTATATTAATGCCTATCTCAGTATTTTGTTAGAGCGCAGACACGTCGTACTGGTTAAGAGAGTATATGCGCTCACATTTATTCATTTCATACGAGTGGTTGTTTATATAGTCAATTGATTTCATTGTAATTCTCTAATTAATTGGTGCTCATTGAACTCTATATCTGTATCTATCTTCTTTCAGTTTTCACGGTGATTCAATAAATGCCAGTAATCATCAGTAAGAATCCGTTGCATCATTCATGACCAGCCCCCTAGAGCGCTTCAGCGCGCCTACAGTGCCTGCGCCTACAGTGAAAACGTTGCCTCAACGCAGATGTATCGCTGCTCCTACACCCCGATTTCCACATGCCCGATGCTCCAGCACGTCCCAGGGATTGCTACAATTTCTCCCGATGCCAGTCGACTGACTCATCGTGTCTTCGCCAGTGGTAAGCCAAAGTGGACAGCCAAGTTTCGTCGTGTTTCAGAGCCGGTCCTTGCTGACTTCAAGGTTTCTGCTACGTCAGCACGCGCACCCTAATTGACGAGAACTGTTTTGGCTTTGTAATGATCGATTATAGTTAATACGTACCGTAGATTAGTGCTGTAATTAAAGTGACTGATTTATACCACTGTTCGAATTGCCTAATTGTAATGTATTAGCTACAAGCTATCGTTTTAGCTATTAAAGAAAACTATGTTCATTGTGTAAACATGGTATTCCCCACCCCCAAGTAGCAATAAGGCGAAAAAAAAAATTATTCGGTCTCTGGTCAGACCAAGGTTCCGAAATTGACGCGGCCACGCGGCTTTCTTTTTTTTTTTTTCTTCTTTTTTTTCTTTTTCTTCAAGCTTGGATTGTACAGACAAGGTGGGGTACTATTTTGCTTTTTTGGTGTCCTCATGTACATTGGTGTCCTCCATAATTTGCCTTGGTGCTTTTAATCATTTGCCTTGGTGCAATTTCCCATTCCTTGGTGTTCTTTGGTAAAAAAAAAATTGAGGAGGTGCGGAAATAGAGGGCGCTGTTGGAGCTACCGCGGAACATTTTGGAAAAAAAAAAGATCGACGTGCATGCTTAAAATCGACGCGCGCGCTGACCAGAGACCGACTTATTTTTTTTTTTGGCCTTATTGCCATTGCTTTTAATTTTGGACAGTTAATTCATCTCTACATAGAGTCTCATTGGAAAATATGCAGTAACTCTGTGTGGACGTGTGCAAGTCCACACAAGAACGACTTGTCCACAGTACGTTGGTGTGCAAGCTTTTGCAAGTCCACACAATGTCTGCAATGCCAACACACACACACACCCACCCACACACACACAGACCTGTTTCACATACCTAGTGTGGACTTTCCTTTCTTTTCGTGTAGTTAAGGAACACCAGTGGAAAAACTCATTTTTCTCAAACTGTGAAAACTCTTACAACCCAATTTTTTTTCAATGATTCCCTTTAGTGTTTCTCTTCATTCTGCTACAGATAAACCTAACCCAAAAATGCCTCTAAACCTGTTTTCCAGAAATGGGGAAACACTGTGTGGACGTGGGCAAGTCCACACTTCGTCGCTGCTACCTACATTATGTGGACGTCTTTTGTTCGGAAGTCCACACTGCGTATGTAAGACAAGCTCACACCCCCACACACCCACCCACCCACGGAAGGACAAGGCGGAAACAGTATGCCCCTTCGGCTTCGCAGTGGGGCATAAAAAGCTGAAATCAGATTTAAAGCTGAGAATTCATACCCTGTTTCATCAAAATCCATGAAAGCATGTAGAACTTATACACTTTTGCTTCAAAAAGTTAACCTAAATTTAACGTACATGCAGGGATACAGAAATAGGACTGGTATTAACAGAGTCCCCCAAAACTTTGTTTAGTTGACATAAAATTGCTCAACTTGAATTGGTCTATACCCTTTACTTGATAAAATAGGCAAACTTTCAATCCATGAGTAACAATAGCCACACAACCTTGTCGAGATAGAACTGACTGTTCTGTGTGAATAAATGAAGAGGTTCTTTGGCTTATTACTAAAGCACATGTACAAAATAAATGGACTGAAACGAGGCCTGTCAAAACAGTGTTCACAGAAAAACAA